CTCCCCACCCGCCCACACCAATCCACCCACTCCGGCGCATTTGGGCTGCTAGGGCGCTGCGACACGCGCCGAGGCCTCCCTTCAAGACAGGCGAAGAGGGCGGCGGATGGTGGCCACCTTTGCCGACGCATTATTAGATCCCCCCGACCCTCTACGCGCTTGAAGCAGCAAGCTGTGTCACCTTCAGTTCACTGCCGGTGTTGGCGTGGGCCCCGCAAACGCGACTGCATGGCTTGTGCCGCGTTCTCCGCGCTCATGGCAGCGGGAGCTGCTGCCTTGCACGCCCGCCGTGCCATCACTGCACACTCCCTTGTGCCCGCCCCCAACGTGCCTGGATCACGTTGTTGCTTGAGACCGTCGCGCCCCATCCTGCGTAACGCTTGGTCATGCCGTGCTGGTAAAAGCGACTGGAATCGCCCGTTGAGAGGCAGTCAAACGCGCATCGTCAGCGGTCAGCTGCGCACGGGGGGCCCTTGCATTGGGTGCCTGCATGCAGCTCCCGGGGCAGGCTGTGCAAGTCATGCGTGAGGCGGCTTGAGGACCGATGAAGGCGTCGTTGTCCGCACCGCTGCCAAGGTTGCATGCAGTGCGGGGCAGGATACTGTGCCGAAAGGATCTTGGGCACGGCGGGGCTCATGTCATTCGCTGTACAGGCGCCAGCGCCACCCCAAAGTTCACTGCCAGCTGTTGATTGGTGCTTCATCATAATCCATATTACATTCAGGCGCCCGTCGCAGCTACCATATGCGATTGCATGGGTGGGGCACCCCATCACACCCGATGTGCTCTTAGTGCGACAGTGAGCACAACGGCGACATTATTCCGTCTTCACACGTAAAAACGTCATCCGTTGGTCTGTCGCAGAACATCGTATCACTCAGAGAGTGCACACCGAAGCTGAGTACTAGCAGAAGAGTCCAGTCGCGCACGCGGTGCTTGAAACAGCATACTCAACTGAGTCGGCGCGGCCTATCATCACGTCACCAGAACAGCTCAATCACAGCGCCACCAGGACGGCGGCGCGAGGCGTGCTGAGCTTTCGCGGCGCCGCCGCACCCGCTCCTGGCGCGCTCCACAGCCAGGCCCCTGCGCGCCGCGGCCCGCGCCGCGCGCCGCGCGCCGCGCCCCACGCCCCGCGATGGGCGCGGCGGACGACGCGGCGGACGCGGAGGCCAAGGCGACGCTGATCTGCAGGAATGCGAGCTGCGCCCCGCTGCAGCTGCAGGTATCGGTCGCCGCCAACGGCCGCAGCAGCGACCCCGGGGACAGCGGCGCGCTGGAGGCGGGGGCGATACGGAAGCTGAACAGGCACGTGCTGACTATATTGTTCGCGGTGGCGATGCTGTGCTACATAGATAGGACCAACCTCGCCTTTGCTTCGGTGAGCGGCTGTGGGTCGGGTTTCGGGTACCCGATTTTCAAACGCGTGACAGGTGTCCCCTGCAGGGCCGCGGCGGCGCAGCCGGGCCCCACCCTGTCTCAGACACGACTGCTGGCGGGCATCACACCCGTGCTGCTCCGCCTTGCGCGAGTCCGCGTGGCGGCTGGATCATTACAGCGCCGGCAGCGCGCTCGCCGCCTTGACCCCGTGCAGCCGCCCGTGACCCCGCCCCACCGTCTCCCCTGCGCCCTCTGGCTTGATATGATGTGGTCATGGTCATCACTCAGGTCAATATGACCGCAGATCTGGGATTCAACGCCCAGGTGAGCGGCCAAGCCTGCGCCACCCTGCCTGCGTCCGCCCCCTCAAACCCACCGCCTCCCCCAGCCCGCAGGCCCCGCACGAGCCCCTGCGGCGGCCGCGCCGCACCGAGCAACAGCTGCCCCACACCCTGCCCGCCGCCGACCCGCCGCCGCCGCCGCCGCCGAGCCGCGCCCCCCGCCTGCATCTGCGTCAGGTGTACGGCTTGGGCAGCGGCCTGTTCTTCGTCGGCTACTCCCTGTCCATGGTGCCGGCGCAGCTGGCGCTGCTGCGCGTCGGCGCGCCGCGTGCGCTGGCGTGCATCGTGACGCTTTGGGGGGCGACCGCCATGGCCTTCAGCACGCTGGCGGGGGAGACCCAGTTTTACGTTCTGCGGCTGCTGCTGGGGGCGTTTGAGAGCGGCGCGTTTCCGGCAATGTGGTGAGGCGCCCGCTAGGGGGCAGGGGTCAACAGGGCAGGGCAGCAGCAGCGGGGCGGCGGCGAGGGCCCGTGTGCCATGCGCCTGTGGCGGGCGGGGCTTGGTGGGGCCGGCGGCGCGGGCGGGGCGGCGTGACGGGTGATGCGACGCGGGGCCACTTCCCTAGGCGGGG